AGTTTGAGTAGAAAGAAATAAACCCATTTGCGCCTTCATTTTATTAACTTCTTACAGCGAAAGCATAAAAAGAAGTTTTATAAATTTCTGGATAACTGTTTCTTATCTTAATTCAGCAAGCGCAAATGCTGTAAAGAATTAAATAGAGGCTTGTCGCCAGTGGACTTCGATCAAATTGTTATGTCGCCTTACAAAGTTTCAATTAGACTACACGCCTCACAACGGAGTCGGAGAAGTTGCCGCAATCATAAGGCGATCTGATGAAGATAGCTCGTTTCTATCTAGCATTTCCTCTGTCTTCATAAAACATCTTTCGCCCCGCTCCCCATATCCCAACACCGGTATTAAAAACTCCCGAAATGTTGTTATTTCTAACCATTCTTAACTCATAGCTCAGTTATATATCCATATATCCATACGTAATTACGCACACGTAGGATTATAAGGCTTACATGCACATACATCAAAGTATCATTCGACGCAATTCTGTAGATGAGTCACAGAGCAGTGGCGTCATTTTTCTTATTCAGATTTCCCCGAGTTCGATATTGGCTTGGAGGGCCTAACTATCTTAAGCTTCTTGAGTTTTCTGAAGTCTGGTAGAATTCTAGGTTAATACCTTAAACTATGCCCAATGCCTTTTCTCCTTCGGTTCTCTCACATGTGTCCTGTGACGTCATTAAGCTACTTCAATCGGTAAAGCATCGTAAAATAACCTGCAAAGCACTGTATTGAAAAGAGACACGTGATCGTTGATGATGGTCGGACTTCTGAGCTTTATGGGCTTTGGAACAGCTAGTTGCAGTACCTATCTGAAGAAGCTTAAATGTCACAGACGGAGAGTGTACGCAGTTTTACAAGCATTCTCCACATAAAACACAAACACAGACGTATGACATTTATAACAAAAGAGCCTCAGTTTATAAAAAGGCATAAACTATCATTTGCGGAACGTTCTCTAACTCGTATTTGAAATATTTTGTGGATGTATTAATGTTTCGTTATATAAATACTATGTACTGAATTACTCCTCCAAATACACTGTCAGTTAGCACTAAACGAAGTAGATCAAATTCACATTATTGACTTCTTATTATCGTCTTTCATATCGAGTTGTACTGAACTATCCGGGGCGTAGAAACCGCGACAGATAGTTTGTTCCCACAGAAATGAGTCGTTTTATACGTAATTTTATACAAGGGATGCAAGTCGATACAGAATGCCATATCATATTGGTGACGTTTATATCGAATCGTTTTATTGGTTTGGGAGTTGTTAATTTTTAAGTCATTGCACTTATATATAAATTACAATGGCATGTTGGATTTATTAAAATTGTTACATAATAACATTTATTCTTAAACATTACGTAGGTTCATAGCTTTAATTTCCATTAAGAAATTCTCACTTCCAAAAAAACAAACAAATAACTCGTCTTTCAAACCCGTTCTGCAGTGGTCGGAATTCCATTTTCCATTGTTTCCTAATAATAAATAACAATAGAAAGTTTATGTCATCAAGTTACAGTGCAATATCTCGTACATTTCTCCGAAATTAGCTATCTACCGTACTTCATTGGTATCCATACATCAAATTAAACTAAACTGGCATTCTTAGTTATGCAATGCACGGAACGCCCTTCTGTTAGTGCATTAAAACTCTTCAATAACTTCAGCAGTAATTTCTATTCCATGAAAACTGATAGTAGTTGGATTTCCATTCAGTCGCGTTAATGATGACAGAGGTCGGGGTGCCCTGATCGACAGCATCCAGGAGCTTCCCAGCGCCGTGGTGCGGTGATTACACTGACGAATCCTAATTCATGCTTTCTATGTGTTTGTGTTCTGAAGCTAACACGTGAGCCATTAATCACTATTCCACCGCCATCACGAGGGTTAGAGAATCCAAAGCGGGCGAAGCTCCTTACAGCAGGTCGTGGAAATGCTGTGCACACTCGGATCAAAGTGAACACGAATCCAGGTGCAAGAAGAGTGCAAATATGTGCAGAAGGAAAGGAAGGCAGGCAGGAGGTGTGAAGGAATGGACGAACAAAAAGATGAAATCAGAACGAGCTACAAAAACTGCAAATAAACTATAAGTTACGCGTCTCGCACGGATATTTCAAATTCCATCGCGCATATGAAAACGTAGCTTGTCAAGAATCAAAAATGGCTGCACACTTCAGCGAATAGAATTGCTACTTTTGCTTTATTTTCAGTCATTTTCGGTAATTTAATTTAATGTGAATATTTATGAGCAAAACACACGTAATTAAGTAATTATTACGGGCGACAGGATTTTGTTGACCCAGGACATGGAACGGCCATCTAGATAGTTAGTTAGATAATGTTTATATCGATGTCATACATTTGACTGCAGCCATTTCAGTATTTATTAAAACAATGTTTAAATGTGATATTTTATTTTTGAATATTCGTTGGGCTTTTATCTGATTTGGTGAAATTTATGTGAAGAACACATATATAACTTGCCCAGAGAAATATAATAAAGAGAATAGTTTCAGTGAATTTCCCTTGCTTCAGACTTGTGACTTTAGTAAACTGGCATTTTGACTGTCAATGCATACAACGAGTTACAATGTAAGCTCTATTTGAAATCGCCACTCTTTTATGTTAGTTTCGTTTCACATCCCACGCTCAATAGGCCCGTCGTACATCAATATACATACATGATGGATGGCTATGAAAAAGTAATGGACTGAATGAACTTTTATTTAAAAAATATGCTACGGTACAGTCTGTTCAAGAGTTAAAAAAAGGGAAAACTTTCGCATTTTATTCGGGCTCCGTGTAAAGTCGGAGTTTACTGGACCCTCAAGGACCAACAAAGTATTGGCTCGACCGGTTTCAATTGTAGACCTCAAACAGGCTGCTACATTTCTTAAAGGAGCATTAAGTAGGCTCGAAATTCAGCATTCGGGCGTACAGAGGTGGACGACATTTCGTATTCATGAAGGCTACATAGAGTACAAGGCACTTACACTTTTACTATCGTAAAACATTTCCCTTGATCTCGCTGGGAAAGCTTTAGTTCGGAGTCAACAAATTACTTCGTACCAGTAACTCTGCGTACACGATTTGCTCGCGCACATCTGTGCTTCCAGTCGGACGCACAAACACACACGTTACAAGCGGAGGTACAGCACGAGGAATGGAGAACTGAATGTGTGTGCCATTAGGCGTCCTTAGACCTCTCGAAATTGTTCCTTAGCAATGAATTTATCGAGCAGCAGTGCCAGGTCAAGGACAAGTTTCTAGATGAGAGGAAAATTACTAGCGCGAAGTGAACCGTGTCTTCTCACAAATTTACGCATTTAAAGTACGAATTTCCGTTTCAGTTGTAGCATATTATTGCAATGGCTTAAAGTTTTGCTCTAATGAACTACAGTTAGCTTAGCAGCAACTCGTCTGCCTTATCACGAATGCCCAGTTAAACGTTCGGTTGGGTAAGAGGTTAACATGAGTGAGGGGTTCCATGATTTTCCTCAGCCATTAAATAGGCCAGGACAACTTTCTCTCGCAGTCTTCCCAGTTCATTTTTACAACTACTATTTCCCTCTCTTCATTGAAAAGGTTGAACAGAAAGACAATTCAGGGTACTCATTAATGCAACATATGTATCAATTATGCATACATGTAATACGCATATATGAAATAATTCTTTTAGCCTGTGCTTCGAACACCGTACTATGATTTATTGATACGATTTTCAGAGTTCGGATTAGACAGTAATGAGAATGTGCTGCCATAAATGTGAATATTATATTGAACTTTGCCCATCGTCTCAGGATATTCTGAAACATGACGTTTCGGGAAATGAATATGTTTACGTCATCAGGTGACACGGAAGTAAAGCTCCTGTTCCGTTGGCCACATTAGAACGAGCTTGCCTTGATGCCCGGGTTTGTCGAGGCGTTAGTTTTAAGCGCAGTATTCTTCGCTTCTAGTCGCCGTAGGAACACGCGCGTGTCTGAGTGATAGCTTTACGGAAACAGCTAACTGAATTATTGACACTCCGGTAGCAGAGACTCGAAAGTTCAGCGGCGCTAATTCCATGGGCAGGATCCTGAGCCAGTTCCATCCATCTCCCATCCCACTACGTAAGTTCGTGAGGTTACTGCGATTCTCCGGTTCTTTACTATATATTTTCCGACCAGAAATCCATATGGAAGGAATGCAGATAAGCTCAAAAAGGAAAGTAAGATAATGCGGGCAGAACGTAATATAAAAAAAGGAAGGACGAAAATAAAAGAGTGTATGGAACAAAGAGACACGTGAGGCGAGTATCTTGAGTAAAATGGGACCCATTTCTCATCACTTCTTTGGGT